TATACCTTTTGTTTGTTAGATGTACATCTAACGTAACTAGTCTGAAAAGGAAATTTTGACACATGCCATAACATGGATGAAATTTGAAGACATTACATTAAGTGATGTGAATCACAAAAGGACAAATATTGTATGATTCATTTTATATAAGGTACCTAGAAACAGGAAGAAGAAAGGAGGTTGTCCAGGATGGGGATGGGGGTGAGAATGGAATATTAATATCATGGGCCAGCTGGGGCAGAAGAAAAAGTTTTGGAGACGAATGATGATGGATGCACAACAATGTAAATGTGTTTAAAGCCATAGAACTGTACACTTAAAAATGGTATTTAAAATAAAGTTTGAAAAGCATTTTGTTAGCAGATAAGAAGCTTATTCTGAATAAGAACTTTTCTGAAACTGGTTTTCCTTTCCTCACACCAACTATACAAGCAATTGTTTCTTGTGAGTCATTTCTATTAATATCCACAAACTATTTCTTTAGGGCAATTTAGAAATTTTAGAACAAAATGGAACTTGCGCCCAACGTGGGGCTCGAACCCACGACCCTGAGATTAAGAGTCTCATGCTCTACCGACTGAGCTAGCCGGGCACCTCTGAAACCTGCCTGACAGATCTTACTACAGGGTGCAATAGGTCTTCTCCCAAATGTACATTGGAAGTTGAATTAATTGAATAGTTGAAATATAAACCGGCTATTAAAGGGTTCTTTATAGCCCGGGAGATTCAAACTTTGTTGTCAGCGCCTGACCTTCCCTCCCACCTCCTTCTCTTTTCTAGTCACTCTATCAGCAATCTAGTCCTTTTCTATACTTCGAAGCACACGACGCAGAGAGAAAACACCCATCTAGACGCCTCTGGCGCACCCTGTGATTTCTTAAGCCGGTATTTAAAGGTAGCGCCATAGCAGCGGACCTCCCGCCGCTGTCCTCAGCAGCGTATTCCAGTAGATCTGCCTGTTCTGCTCCCCACCCTGTCTGGTGAATCCTCTCACCCTCCAAACCCCTCTGGCCTCCTCCCCAGCACTTATATGCATAAGTAAAATAAATCCTTAAAGGTAATGCCACAGACTCGGAATGGATTGGAAGCCGCCCCAGCGCCTTTCTGACAAGTGCAAACTTCACAATGTTGGGTTTTCCGCCCGACTTCTCAAAATACAAAGCTTAGAAAGAACGAAAACAGGTTGAAAAAAAGGCAATTCGCCTGGAGATGCCGGGGATCGAACCCGGGGCCTCATACATGCAAAGCATGCGCTCTACCACTGAGCTACATCCCCCCTCGGCGGAAGCGTCTTCTCTCTGCTCTCTTAGTCATTTCACCGCGGAGGGCGTTGCAGTGTCGGCGGCCGCGGAGATCCTCTAAAGAGGCAAAACCTCGCGCCGGCGCGGCGGGTTGTTCCAGGGTCCCCGCGCGCCCCGAGCCGCCCGCCGCTGGCCGCCGCGCGGGGCGGGGGAGAGAGCGCGGGTGTCGGGAAGAGCCCGAGAAACACCTCAGATCGGTGGTGGGCACAGAAACGGAAACCACCGTGCACGATGCCCAGAATAAAAGTGATCCGAAAAAGTACAGTAAGGAAGACAGTATATAGGATGCTACTTTTTGTTAAATAAAAAAAAAGGGGGGGAGTGTGGTAAATTATATAATCTTTGCCTAAAATTCAGAGCCTCAAAGTTGATGCCGGGGCGGACGGTGACTGAGGCGAAGCCGATGGGCCCCGTCACTGTGAGCCGCGCTGTACGGTCTGAATTTCGAACCACGTTTGAATTTATTTAATTCAAGACGAGCTCACCAGCAGCACACTCTGTGCCAAGAGCTGTTCTAGAAAACCGGGATTCCAGGCTTGAGCAGAGCCCCAGCTCGCGAGCGCCGAAGGAGTCAGCTCCAGGAGGGCGCGCGGGCGCGCGGTTTTAAGCAGCCCGAGGGGCGGGGTCCGAGGGGGGCGCCTCCCGAGGGGCGGGGGTGGGGGGGCGCCTCCCGAGGGGCTGCGGGCCAGAAGTGCCCCTGCAGACGCCGTGAAGGCCTGACTCCCCGTAGGACGCTGAGGGGAGGCCGTTTCTGGGAAGGGCCGCAGTGAATCTGCTACAGGGCAGGGAGAGGGCCACCTCAGACCCCGAAACCTGCCTGCTGTAAATAGGTTCTGCCATCCGCCACAGCAACACAAAAACATATGAGACTTTAATGGGAAGGAACTTTAATACAATTAGGAAACAATACAGGAAAGGCAAAGAATCTAGTTTCTAACTCAAACACCCGAAGTTACCCATCCCCTTGTGGGTAAAAGTCCACCCAAGCAGGATTGGCCCAGAGCAAGGCCCCAAAGCCTGCCCCAAGTCTAAAGCATCTTCCAGTGGGGACCCACAGAAAAGGCTCAGAAACAACCAGATTTGTTGCGTTGTTTTGCTCTTAGAACGAAGAGCAGAATCTGGCGGTGTCTGCGCCTGCCCAGCAGCACAGTGTAGGGCGCTGTGTGCAGCCAAGGGCTGGACCCCCAGGGGAGCAGTAACAGGGTGGTCCCCAGGAAAGGGGGAGATTCCAGGTTTCCTCCCGTACCTAGCTGACGGGAGAGAGAAGAAGCTGCAGAGGAGACTGAGGAAGGAAGGTAGCAGGATGGAGAGCCAGAAGGAGCCCTGGAGGTTCCTGGCGGTTCCAGGTTTCCTGCCCAACCCCAGGGATGGTGAAACTGAGCAGGGAAGAAAAGCAGCAGAAGAGACTGAGGAAGGAAGGAAGCAGGATGGAACCAGAGGGAGACCTGGAGGAGGCAAATGGACCTGAGAGACACGTGAAGAAACTGCACTTGCCTTTTGGTCCTGGACTGGTTGACACAGATGTGGGTGAGACTCATGGGGAGGACAACAATGGCGGGTTTTGTCTTGATTTTGATCTTTTCCTCCCAGACTTGTCTGGTTGTTTCTGATCCTTTTCTGTGGGTCCCCACTGGAGGATGCTTTAGACTTGTAACAGGCTTTGGGGCCTTGCTCTGGGCCAATCCTGCTTGGGTGGACTTTTACCCACGAGGGGACGGGTAACTTTGGGTGCTTGATTTAGAAACTAGATTCTTTGTCTTTCCTGTATTGTTTCCTAATTGTATTAAAGTTCCTTCCCATTAAAGTCTCATATGTTTTTGTGTTGATGTGGCGGATGGCAGAACCTATTTAGAGCAGGCAGGTTTGTGGTGTCTGGGGTGCCCCTCTCCCTGCCCTGTAACATTTGTACTTTCTATCTACATTTTTTTGTGCATATTGGTATGGTCAGCTATTTTTTTTTAAAGATTTATTTATTCATTTACACAAGAACCATGGTACAGGTCAGATGTGCGGGAGGGTGAGAGGATTCACCAGAGACAGAGCGGGGAACAGAACAAACACGCTGCTGAGGGGAGCAGCAGGCATGAAAGGAGAGGTCCGCCCTGCCACGTGGGACCCTCCGGGATCGAACCGCCTGCACCACCAGGGGAGGCCCTGGTCAGCTATTTTTAATGATCTCAGTGACCAACTTTTGGAGGATTCTGTCCACTCCTGACTTTGCTTGTGGTGTGACCATGTTCATAATAATCTCAAGGGAGAAAAAAAACTTGTAAAAACTAAAGCAAAAACGACAACAAAAAATCTTATTCCAAGCCTCCCAGTAACTTTTTTTGTGTATGTATGTGGTTGTGCTATATAGTAGTTGGTTTTAATGAGATGGTTAAAAAGACTAAAGATAAAAATTTTCTTTTTTTTTTCCCCTCAATGAAGTTGCTGTGTATTTGTTTATTTCCGCCTGTTTGGTGTATGTGTGAACGTGTCCGCCAACAAACAGGATTTTGTAGAGTTACCCTAGAAAAATAAAAAAGCAACACACAAGTGGAGATGTGTGGGAGTTGCATGTGGGGCCAGGCATCCTGGATTGAAGACATGTACTGTGGAGTCAGCAGGGATAGGGTCTTTTCAAGCCAAGAAAGTGGAAGAGCAGCGACAGAGAGGTTCAAGGACAGAACAAAGGCGGGAGATGAGGAAACCACAAAAGAGCTCTATTAGGAAACCACAACAAATTAGAGAGGTGTGAGCTGACCCTGCCAGCACCCTGAGAAAGGGTGTAGGAAAAAATCAGAGAGGGGAGGTGAGGTGAGAGCTGAGAAGAATCCTTTGGGTTGGAATCACTGAGGTCACCGGTTACCTTGACAAAAAAACAAACAAACAAAAAAGCCTGCTTTCTGAGGAATGTGGGTGCAGAAGCCTGATCCGAGTGACCTCCAGAAGGAATGAGGAGAGAAGGGCAGTAATAAACATTACTGGCTCTTCAGGGGGATACCCTCCTCATATGGGGAATCCTCCCACCTGAGGGTAGGAGGTGCGAGGACAAGAAAGGGCTAGGATTTGAGGGGAGGGTTAACACCAAGTAGGAAAATCGATTTCAATTTATTATTTGTTCAAAAAAAATTAAAGATTAAACGGGGGGTGAGGTAGGGCAATCTCTGGAAAGATAACTACAGAAGTGGATACAAGGACAGGCTTGGCGCTGGGTGGCAAAGGCCAGGTTCCAGACCCTAAATTTAGCCCAGCACAGCGCTGGGAGAAACCTGCACTCCGGGAACCTGACACCCTGACGCGAGTGGCAGGTCCTTGCCCCGGCTGGCGACCTGGAGGGGCTCCCAGCTGTGTGGTTCGGGCCCACCTGTCCCGGCCTGTTTCCCACTGCTGACTGGGTCAAGCTGGGGCAACCAAGGAAGACCCGTGGCGGGGCTGAGAGCTTCTAGGGCCACGCAGACAGGGCGCCGCGGGACCAGGAAGGCCACGTGAAAGCCTGGGCACTGAGGGCTACGGAGCGGAGCCGAGGCGCTGGGCGCCGCCGGGTACCGGGAGTTTTGGCCGCGGACGCGCACCCTCGGGTCTCCCTGCCCGGCGCGCCCTCGGCTCCAGCCACAGTCCGCGGGCGTCAGCCCCGCCCTTCCGCTCTCTTGGGCGATCGGAGCCGGGGGCCGTGCGATCCCGCCGCGACCCGACCCGGGAGCGCAGAGGCCGTGCATGGCGACGGTGGGGCCGCGCAGCGGCCCGCGCGTCGGGGCCGAGGCGCTGGCCCTAGCGGCGGAGTTGCAGGGCGAGGCGACCTGCTCCATCTGCCTGGAGCTCTTCCGCGAGCCGGTGTCGGTCGAGTGCGGCCACAGCTTCTGCCGCGCCTGCATCGCGCGCTGCTGGGAGCGTCCGTGCGCGGGGACCGCCGTCCCGGCTGCGCCCCGCACCTCGTCGGCCCCGCTGCCCTGCCCTCAGTGCCGCGAGCCCGCGCGCCCCAGCCAGCTGCGGCCGAACCGCCAGCTCGCCTCGGTGGCGGCGCTGCTGCGGCGCTTCAACTTCCCGGCGGCCGCGCCGGGGGGTCGCGAGCCCTCCGACGGCGCGGGGGTCGGCTGTGCGCTGCACGGCGAGCCACTCAAGCTCTACTGCCAGGACGACGGGCGCCCCATTTGTGTGGTGTGCGACCGCGCCCGCGAGCACCGAGCGCACGCCGTGCTGCCGCTCGACGAGGCGGTGCAGGAAGCCAAGGTGAGACCCGGCCCCACCGGAGTGGGCCCTCGGCAGCCCCTGTCCCGCGCCCGCCGTCCCGCGCCCGCGGAGCCGACGCCGGGCAGGGCGCTTTCCTCTCCTCCCGGGCTGCACACCCTGGCTCCCAGGCCCGGGCGGTTCTCGTTCTGTCACCCCCGCAGCCGAATGCCGCCCTCCACCCACCCAGGGCGTCTCCTTCTGGCGATACTCTTTATTTCGGCGTCTTCATCACACCCACATTCTGCTACCCCTATACTGAGCCCTGCCTCTGGGCGTGGCTCTGCTCGGCGTCCTCACCTCCCGGACCGAGTGCAGGACCACCTTCCCGGGACGTGAGGGTCAGAGGGTGGTGGCACCCGGGCTGCGTAGCGCGCGGACAGTGCCGATAGCCGGTGGGGTAATACGAAAGTTGCTGATTCCGGGAGCCTCCCTTTCCAGCCTCCTGGTTGGGGTCTCCGCTGTGGTGTGCGTGGAGGTCTTGGGCACACAGTTCCCAGTCTCTGCGCCTTTCCCTACTCCATCCCTCCCACCCAGAGCTTTCCGGCGCGAGGGAGAAGAATGAAGAAAGGACTAGGCGGCTTCATCTGGGGGAGGGGAGGGGGGCTGGGGGGGCGCTTGCGTTTCAGTTTGACCTGGGTACCGGTGGTGCCCAACATTGGGGAAGTGGCACCTTGGGTTTTTAGACTCACCCTGCAATATCCCTGTCCTCTAGGAAAGCTGTATCTATCCAATCACAGATAACTTCAGCCTGGCCTCTTCCTCCTCGATGAGGAGGACCTTCTCTTTCTCCTGATGACTCCAGGAAGGCACATGTGGGGGTTCCAGAATCCTCTGCCCACAGTGTCTCCCTTCTCCCCTCCTACAGGAGCTCCTGGAGGCCAAACTGAGGGTTTTGAAGAAGGATCTGGAGGACTATGAGGTGTTTCGTTCCACTGAAGAGAAGGAGAGCAAGGAGCTCCTGGTGAGCCTTGCCTCCCCAGTGCAACAGCAGAGAGCTACCCACTGCTCTGGCTCTGTGTGTGGTGTTGGGGTGTGTGCATGTGGAACAAGCAGCAAGGTTAATTTTAGGAAGCTAATAGGATATATAAGGTGATCATATAATTATTATACAATCAGAACTTTTAAGAGTGAAAGGGAGTGTTGAGTTATTCTAGAACAGGGGGCTTAATCTGGAACAGTGAATCAAGGTATAGTCACCCTAGTATTACATAACAGCTCAAGTAAAGCCTATATAGCTTATTTGCAAGTGAACACACTAATGTTTCTTTTTCCTTTTTTTAAGGATTGATTTATTTATGCATTCAAGAGCTGAGGAACAGGCCAGAGATGCCATGGGTGAGAGGATTCACCAAAGACAGAGTGGGGAGCAGAACAGGCAGATCTACTGAAATCCACTGCTGAAGGAAGCAGTGAGATAGGCAGGAGAGGTCTGCTGGGCCATGTGGGTTAGCTCTCCGGCCTCCTGTTGCAGTGGCTGCGGATAGCTTCATAGTCCTGAGACTTAACCCCTTGCGCTAACAGGGAGGCCCCAACGCACTAATGTTTCCACAAAGAAACACGAGAATATTTAAATTAGTGGGGAACAAAAATACAGAAAATAACCTGGCATCTGGCCTCCCCTGGTGGCTGCGCAGCTATTGAGCCCTGGGCTGCGAAGCTGCCCGCAGCCTCTGCAGCATTGGTTCGATCCCCGGCCACCGGCGAGGGTCCCACTTGGTGCAACAGACCTCTGCTGCCGCGCCCGCTGCTCCCCTCAGCAGTGTATTTCAGTCAGTCTGCCTGTTCTCTTCCCGGCTCTGGCTCTGGTGAATTCTCTCACTCGCCCACGCTTCTGACTATACCCAGTGCTGGTATAAATAAATAAATAATAAATAAATAAATAAATCTTTTAAAAAAATAAATAACCTGGCGTCAGTCCAGGGCATGTTTTCCCCACCAGAAGAGTTCCGAAAAAACGTTTTTTTCATTTTTAGAGCTGTTTAAACTTTGAAAGTGAGGCTAAGGGGGAAGGGACACAGAATCTGCCTGAGCTGCTTCCAACCCAGCAGAAGACTGCAGGTTTGGGGACTTGATTTCCAACTGCAGCTGCTGCGCAACCAAATGTGCCCAGCACTCCTTGGTGGGTTGGGATTTTATTCTGTCTTCCTTGCAGTGGGACAGAAAAGTGAAATGGGGCTCATTTTGGTTAAGGTAGGCAGATGTGGGCTACTGACTCACATTTGCCACTTGCAAATTCTTAAGTCAACAAATAGATATTAAGAGAACAAAAGGATCTACTGGGGCCTATTAGTGTAGAGTCATTGGATTCTGGAGATAGCAAGGGAGGAAGAGGAACTTGAGTATGGCCCCCTTATGGAAGTAGGGATGGGTGGGAAGGAGGGGAGGAACCTAAATTCAGATTCCCCAGGGTCCTTTCCTGACCCTCAACTGCATCTGGTACACATGCATGTGGTGCTGCACATCCCAGTCTTCCCATCTGATCATTCATTTCCCTTCATAAGGAAGAGTGCCCTTTCCTTCCTTCAGAGCTCCATCTTCTTCTGCTGGAGAACCAAGTAGGCACCTGAGTCCTTAGCCACTGTGGTATATCCATGACTTAGAGCATCTTCCACACCCTGACCAGCTTCACTGTCTTTAATTCCACTCAGCAACCCTTGACACTGCTTGGAACCTTCCATTCTGTCCTCTGCCAACACCCACCCACTTACCCCCACTTTTGGTCCACACATCCTTTATAAAGTACCTACTAAATTAAACAATAGAAGTAGAGGATAACCTTTGCTGCCTGATAAGGAGAATGAATACCTTTGCTTGAAAATGCTGTTACCACGAAGGGGTCTCAACTGGAGGTAATTTTGGCCCCCAGGGCACATTTGGCAATGTCCAAATATATCTGGAGATATTTTTGGTTGTCAACAGAGGTGCAGGGGTGCTACTGGCACTGTTTAAACCTCCTACAATGCACAGGACAGCCCTCCAAATAAAGAATGATCTGACCCCAAATGTCAGTAGTGCTGAGGTTGTGAAACCCTTATTCAGAGTATTTTGGCAAATAATATTTCACTTGTGTTACCTCCTTGGAGGCCATATGACATAGTTGCAAGAAGTTTAGACTCCATGGATTAGACTTCTGACTCCCCACTTACTGATCATGTGCCCTTCTGTCTCTGTCTCCTTATTTGTAAAATAGGGTGAGAGTGCACCCTTGCCATAGGGTTGTTGTCAGTGATGAATGAGTTAACACCTGTAAGGCAGCATCAGCCTCCTTGCCTAACATTCTGATGATGCAGGTCCTGGGGAGCCTCCCCTAGTATTTTTAGGGAAGAAGAACTTTGAAAGTCAAGCTTGTCCTGAAAGGGCAGAGTCATTTCTCTCTTGTCACTGGCCGTGAGAAGACTTGCTTGTTCTATCGTGTGAGGTCATTCCTGCGCATTCACATAAAGATTCAAGAGGATCAGGAGTACAGGTCTGCATCAGAAAACACAGGATTGAAAACTCCTGAGGATCATACTAATGGGAAGAATAGAGTATGAAGCCTGCATACAGCATATTCCACTTGGATTGCTGTGGGTGGGCTGTAATCTGTGGTCACTGGCATTACTATTCCTTTCTTCTTTATAACCTTATACATCTCCCAGATTTTGTGTTATGAGTGTGTGTTACCTTTATAATTGCTCAATAGAAAAGGTGTTTTTTATGTGCACTGCATTCCCGCTGGTATCAGGCCCATAACCTCATGCCTTGAGCCACCTACAAGACAACATTTGGTGAACCCGCCAGTACAGATCCTGTACAACCACACCATGCTGCTGCAGGCATCTGTGCCTTCCACCAAAGCCTGACCAGGAACACACATCAAGCTGCGGGTCAAGGAGCTTCTGTGCCAGGGTCTGCTGCTGCACAGCTTGCCAGGAGTGCAACCAGGATCAGGAGAAGATGGAGCAGTGTGGCAGGTGCTCTTGTATCGGCACATCAACCTGCAGCTGCTGGAGTGTTTATCTGGTGTTTGCTGTGCCCCCCAGTGGTCCCTTACGTGGCAGCCCATGAGAGTGATGCCTACCAATGTGTGACCAGCAAACAGTTCTATCACCAACTGCCAGGCACTCCAGCATCAGCAAGATAATCATTAATGAAGAGCTGATGGTTATATAAGGGAGGAATTGGAGAAGGGATGTACAGAGCTTCATATTTCCAGGTCTCAAGAGGGGCTGGGCAGTCTAACTACCTGAGACCAGGTGTTCAACTTTCCCAGCAGGATGTATTCTCAGCAATCAGCATGTTAGTTTCTGATGCCACTACCAACCCCAGTGACACACAGAATTTTATTAGCGATGTAATAACAAAAGCAATTTTCCAAGTTCCTAGGAATGTAGGTGGAGACAGTTAATGGTTACTCATGAGGAGGGGGCGTAGGGAAGAAAGAATACAGGAATAATAATCTTTAATTCCATTTATTACTAATTTTTAGTCAAGTGGAGGTTTTTTGTTGTTGTTGCAAAATGGAGGGGATCTGTCTACATGGTCACTGCTTCCAAGGCCATGAAAATCGATGACTGGAGACCTAACACCATTTTGTTATCAACAAGAAGATGAATAGCAAAGCGTGGGATCTTTGCGAAGTTCAAACCATGATGTTTAGGAAGATCCAGGAGGAGTCACTGGCAGATCTGCCTCTTCACCTTCAGCAGCATCTTGACAGTCAACTTGGAGGCTCTGCTGAAACCCTGTCTGAGCTGGATCTTCCTGCCAGACACTCCATCATCAGCATGATAATCATTAATGAAGAGATGATGGCCTTGCTGGGCAGAGTGGTGATGCCCCACACGGAGCTCACTGCCCCATAGAACCTGGCTCTGCAACTGATTGGGCATCCTGGTGGAGAATAAGTGGGTGTCTGACCACCAGCAGGTTCCTACGGTGGCTGAGACCAGAGGATGACTGCCACAAAAGCAAAGACTACATGTTCCTTGATGGCTGCTGCCAGCAGTAGTCAGGCAGCCTACCGTTGACTTCACTTATGTCCCTGTGACCTGGACCATTCAGCCTTTAAATCCTAAAACACACCCTGGTCAATAAAGGTCTATTTAGAATAGTTTTTTTTTTTTAAGAAAGTGAAAATAGGAGGGTTGGTGAATGTTAAAGAATGAATTCAATTGAGTAAAATTTAGAGATTTATTAGCTTCATCCAGCCACTCATGAACCAGGTAGTATCCTATCTAACAGATAGGAAGGGGCTCCAAAGGGTTTTACAGGGCAAGAGATTTTATAGACAGAAGGGGGCAGAAACAAGGAAGTTGCACCAGTCAAAAAGGCAGGTTGATTATTGCAAGGTTACTTTCCCTATAGGATATAGCAAGGGCTTATCAGGCAATTGACCTAACTAACCAGTGCTGATAAGCTGATTCCTGATTGACTGGTTTAAGAGTCTATCTCTGGGAGAGCTGAAACTGCATCTAAGTCTAGGTTTGGTGATGTGGGGCTTAACGTACGTAACTCCATTTTGGGCACAAAGTGTGTTTGAGGAAGAAAGAGTGACCTCAGTTAAATCAGTGGAGTGGCACCCCTAGAGGCATTGATTAATCTTTCCCCTTTTCAAATGAGAAAACAGCAGCCTAAGTAGGTCTGGGGCAAGTTTGAAGTGGCCCTAGATTGGTGGGAGAGCCGACACCCAAGGACAGGGACAAGTGTGACAGGAGAGGCCAGAGCATGTGTTGAAGCTGCTGCATACTCAGATTTGGGGGATTTAAATGAAAGCGTTTGCTGTGGACAGGCTTATGTGGGTGAATCTCTGACCCCTTAGCAGAGGGGGGGTGGAACCCTGCCCCATGGGACAACTCAGAATCTCCTGCCCAAACACCACTGCTCCATGCTTATGTGCCCTTGCCTCTCAATTTTCTTACTTGGGACAGAAGCAGATGGCTGCAGAGCGAGAGAAGGTAGGGGCAGAGTTCCAGGCCCTGAGGGCCTTCCTGGTGGAGCAGGAGGGTAGGCTCCTGGGCCGCCTGGAGGAGGTATCACGGGAGGTGACACAGAAGCAGAATGAGAACCTGGCCCAGCTGGGGAGTGAGATTGCCCAGCTCTCCAAGCTGAGTAGCCAGATCCAGGAGACAACGCGAAAGCCTGACCTTGACTGCCTTCAGGTGAGTCTACCTTGACCTGAGTCTTTGCAAACAGCAGCCTAACAGAGTGAGATCCTGTGAGTTTAATAGAATCACATAATCAAAAACCAAAGAGGACTCGAGCAAAGTGCCCTGGATTTCTTGGGTTAGATCTCTAAAGGAATGTGGTAAAACTTTCTTGACCATGAACCATAATATATTTTGCATCATTCTTCAGTGTATACACACTTGAGACAAAAGTCTCAGAAACTTCTCTGTACCTCTACTACATGTTATGAACTTTGATGTTTTCTATTTCATTTAAACATAGTCACAATCTACTAAACTTCACACATCACAAATGGGTCAAGAACAATCATTAGGTGCTAGCCAGAGTGACCAGTCATTGCATAAGGATTGTGACTTGTTTTGGTTGGAGTCAAGTACAGAGGGCTCCAGCACCTGGCTCAGGAATGATTCTGTAATGAAGGGAGCATTTGTAGAGCTGCAGCAGGGTCACCATGTTGAGAGACCCAGTGACCAGCCATAGTGGGAAGCCAATGCCTCTTAGGCCAAGGCTGGTGGGGGATGGTTAGTACAAGTGTTTCTTGCTGATAGCCCTGGAAACAGGACAAGGAACTAGTTTCAAAGGTGAATATAGTTTACCTGATGTTAATACGGTTTTCTTTCATTTTTCTCTCCAGGAATTCAAAAACACACTGAACAGGTGAGTGGACCTAAGAATTCCTTGGGCCTCTCCAAGCTGCCTTTTCTCCTTTTTCATTGAGTTGTCTTTCACTGCCATGCCTCCAACAGTTGCTCACCTAACACCGCTTCCAGCCCTCATACACTGCTTTACGTACCTTCTGGGCCATGGGTGTTCATTCTGACTTGAAATCAGGCTCTCCTTTTTCTAACTTTCCTCACCAAGAAGACCTTGCCATCCTAATTGTCACAGCCTGGTGGAAGTGCAGTGTTTATGGGCTCCTTCTGGGTCTCATCCTATAGGTGCAGCAATGTGCCAAGCCCCAAGCCAACCACAGTCTCTTCCGAGATGAAGAATAAAGTCTGGAATGTTTCCCTCAAGACCTTTGTCTTAAAGGGGCTGCTCAAGAAATTCAAAGGTAAGGGCCTGTGGGAGCGTGGGGGAGCGCTGGGCCATACAACGTGGGTGGTGGTATATTTCTGGTAGTTTGGGGTCCTGAGGATGTGCCTTTCCAGAAGTTGTGTGAGAAAACAGGAGCTGGGGTGTGTCTAGACCAGATTAATGTGAGGAGGCTGTAGTGGCAAATATATCCAGGCCCTCACACCCCCACCAAGGGCATGAAGTTTCCCTGAAGATGGATGGATGGATAGGGTAAAGTATTGTGAGCAGAAAGAGGAAGTGAGGAGGGAGAGCTCAGCTTAGCTTAGCTCCAGGAAAAGGAGGAGAAAGTAGGAAGAGACAGAGTTAGGATACTGCCCCTTACCCACTCCAGCTTGGCCCAGCATCTGCACTTTGACTCTTGGCTTCTGGGGTATCTGGAGAGTGAGAGAGCCAGTGGGACTATAAATGTCAGAGGAGGTGATGTCTTGATGTCTCTGTCATTGCTGGACAGATAGCGTCTTTGTCTCTCATGTACACCCTGCTTTGTCTTCCTCCTCAGAGGATCTTCGGGGAGAGCTGGAGAAAGAAGAGAAAGGTATGATGGTGGTTTTGATAGTGAGTAGTTGTTATTTGATCACGTAGAGAATCTTTGCCCACAGGGATTCCTTCTGCCCACCTTCCTCTGCAACTCTGCCTCTGCTGTTCTTTACCCCCTCATCTGAAGTTCCAGTCAACCTGTAAGCTGTGGGTTGATCTGGGAGTAGGCATGCCCTGGGATACTTAGATTGGGGAGGGCTTATCAGTTACCTGGATGAGCCTTTTTCTCCTGTCCCCACTAATAGACAAAGGCCTCTTCTGGGGGTGGGGGGAGGTATAGAGGGACCAGGGGAAGCAAGAGACTGAAGACAGAGGTGATTCTTACTCCTGCAGAGCTCTGAGGTGAGTGGGACCAGCTCTACAGGGAGAACAGGGGCGGAGAGTGGATGCACATACTCCTCATGATGAAAACAGCTAAGTCAGAATTTATCTGGGAAGGATGTCCTTGCTCTGCTCAGAACCCTTCATTGGTACCTGTCACTCAAGACTTTGGTCTTCAAAGTCATATGGGATCTGGCCTCTGTTCTTCTGTTTCATGCTGTGCAGCCATACACCCTTCTTGCTGCTCCTGGAATACATCAAGCGCACACCTACTTCAGGGCCTTTGCACTGCATTGCCTGTTCCTTGGCCTAGGATATCCTTCCCTCAGACAGGTGGCTTCCTCTGGCTTCCTCTCTTCCTTTATGGCTTTCCTCAAGTGTGCCCTTGCAGTGAGGCCCTTCCTATTCCTGTAGTTGAAATTATAGCTTTTCTCTGGATCCTCTTATCCTCTACATTTGTCATTTACTGTTTTTCCTCCTCCTTACCTCAGAATCTACAGGTGGTCAGAGAAACTTGACTATGGGGTTCCTAGGACCTATGACAGGCCTGGAACATAATAGTACTTACAAGTGTGCATATTTTAATGTTTTATTGTGGAAAGTTTCAAACATATACAGGTAGAGAAAAGAGCATAGTGAATGTTCTGCAGAGTGTAACTTCAACAGTATGATTTGTGGCTAATATTTTTCATAAACACCCCTATCTACTGAATTATTTTGAGACAAAGCAAAGAAGACGTACCATTTTCATAAGCATCTCAATATTTGTTATCTCTAAACAGACTTAAAAAAAAAATCTAACCACAAAATCATTATCTCAACTACAAAAATCAATAATTCTTTCCAATATCTAGTCCTTGAATCCCTGGGTTGTCTTTTAAATTGGAATCCAAAACAGATCTGTACATTGCATTTGTTAGATTTCAACAAATAGTTATTGAGCCAAAAAAAAAAAAAAAAAAGGGCGGGAGCTGTGTAAGGGGCCTGCATAGTGACGTCCCTCCCTGTCTCTGTCCTGCAGTGGAGCTCACCTTGGACCCAGACACCGCTAACCCCCGCCTCATCCTCTCTCTGGATCTTAAGAGTGTGCGCCTTGGCCAGCGGGCCCAGGACCTGCCCATCCACCCGCGCCGCTTTGACACCAACACTCGAGTCCTGGCGTCCTGTGGCTTCTCCTCCGGGCGGCACCACTGGGAGGTGGAAGTAGGCTCCAAGGATGGCTGGGCCTTTGGAGTGGCCCGGGAGAGTGTGCGCCGCAAGGGCCTCACGCCCTTCACACCTGAGGAGGGTGTCTGGGCGCTGCAACTCAACAATGGGCAGTACTGGGCGGTGACCAGTCCTGAGCGGACGCCACTCAACTGTGGGCATCTGTCCCGAGTGCGTGTGGCCCTGGACTTGGAGGTGGGGGCCGTATCCTTTTATGCTGCAGAGGACATGCGACACCTCTACACCTTCCGAGTCAACTTCCACGAGCGTGTGTTTCCCCTTTTCTCTGTCTGCTCCACTGGCACCTACTTGAGAATCTGGCCTTGAGGATCAATGCCCCCATCCTCCCAGAGAGCCAGTGAAGGACAGACTCCTCCTGTTCCTGGTTGCTGGTGGGAGGGGATGAGATCCAGCAGTGGGGAAGCCTCAGGTCCCTTTGGGACTGCCCTCCACACACACCTACTCACGCTACCCCAGAGGGGCTTCCCCCAGTCAAAACATGGGAGCATGACGGTGATCCACTGGGAAGTGGGCTTTTGTCAGCTGAGCAGAGGAGAAAATACCTTGGACTCTCGGCCCCTGTCTGTTGTCAGCTTATAGATTTTGCTTGAAGAGGTGGCTATGGGTAGGGAAGGAACCCAGTTCCCAAAAGAAGGCCTTCTTATCACCAGCTTCCCAACTTGACTCAACCGGCTTCTGGTTCCATGACAGCAGCAATTCCTGGTCCTGGATGCTGTCCTTACTTGCACGGAATTTGGGCTGAGCCAGCCATGTTCATAATCACTTTCACTTTAACTTCTTGTCAGTGACCAGCTCTGCCTTAAGAGATCTGAATCTAGCAGGCTGACAAGGTTATCTACTCAGGGAGGAACACCGTGTTCCCAGCTCAGAGGGCAATCTGGGCCAGAATTTGAAAAAAGACCTTTAATCTGTACATGAGGGAAAAGTCCAGGACAACAGCACAGGCATTGCTACTCTCAGTCACCTGTTAGCCTATTAGTAGAGAGTGATACGTATATCCTCGTCCACAGTGACAGTCTTGTGTTCTCACAGATGTCTAAACCCCTTTCAAGTGCTAAACGATCGTCTCCCTTGGGTAAGGAGACCATGGGTTCTGGAATTTTGAATCACAGGACAGATGCATAGAAATGCATAGAACACAAATGTGCCTCCTGGAACTTGCCAAATGTAGCCAAAACCAAAGGACCCTCTTACAAAGGAATCTGTGCTGGCGTGGGTGTTATCCCCTTGCCTAATCCCCTTGGTTATCCCCAACTTCTGTATGACTGGGCTTCTGTGAAGGGGTGGTAGACTGTCCCCTGTTTAGTGCTCCCTGGGGAAGTAAATTGGGGACATGGAAATACAGGTATGATCTCATTTCTGGTGTGACTTGCCTCATTCCTGACTCCTCCAGTCCGAATTCAAGAGCACAGGTGTTAAGAAGGGTCCCCCGCTGGTGGCTTAGGGGTTAAGTCTCAGAGATATCACTGCTACAGTCCACCTGGACAGATAGCCTGAGCTTGAGACAGCCTGAATTTGACCCCTGGCCAGGGAGCTAACTCACATATGGCATAGCTGACCTCTCCTGTCTTGCCTGCTGTTCTTAGCAGTAAATCTGCCTGTTCTGCTCCCCACTCTGTCTCTGGTGAATCCTTCCCCCCTTCTCCTTGCATACCCCAATTCTTCTATGCAAAAATAAATAAAATCTTAAAGAAAACCCAAGTGTTAACAAGGTTTTCTGCCAGACTGGATGAACATGTTTTATGTACGTGTGGAACACGGGCATGTGTGTTTATATCTCAGATTGCAGGGCCGGGGTCATGTGGATCTGGGAGCGGGCATCTGTGAACATATGCGTAGGGCATTGGTGTTGCAAAAAGACCTTGGTCATACCCTATTATTGATTTATTGGTAGATATTAGCCACTTCATATTTAGATGTGGGTGGTAGGTTTCCTCCTCCACTACCTGACTACCAGTCTAGCTGAAAGTCATTCTCAGACCTAATTCTGTCCTGCACAGTTTGTTTAGGTGTGTGTGTTGGCATTCAGGGACAGTGACAATTGAGTAGTCTGCATGTGTCATGGAGTTTCCATGCTTTGCCCATTGAGGTGCCTCAAGCATGCTATGTACAAGGTTCTTCTAGAACAGTGTAGGGTAAATGATTTTCAGGCTTTTCTGCCCTCTGCCATTAGGATTACCCTGCCTGATATGGGCATCTGCATTTTGGTACATTGTTATTTTCAGTTGTATTGTTTATTTCTGTGGGCCCTGGCTACAGTATTGATATATTGGACAAGGCGGCACAGTGGTTGAGCGCTGGGCTGCAATCCCCGGCCACAGGCGAGTCTCACCTGGCGCGCAGACCTCTCCTGCCGCCCGCTGCTCCCCTCAGCAGTGTGCTTCGTCAGTCTGCCTGTTCTCTTCCCCTCTCTGGCTCTGGTGAATTCTTTCACCCTCCCGCGCTTCTGACTGTACCCAGTGCTTGTATAAATAAATAAATAAATCTTTAAAAAAAAAAAGACAAGCGGAGGCAGGAGAGAGGGAGAGATAAGGGTAGAGAGCCCAGCACAGAGTGAAGATTCCCCCCTGGGCTGGGAGGCCTTCCGGCCCCCTGGACCCCCAGCACCCCTGCCTGCTATGTACCTGATTGCTGCTCTATATGTAAAAGCTCAATAAAAGCCTGAGAAAGCTACCAAGGTCTGCCAGATCATAGAACTAGCTGTGTCCTTCTTGGCATTACAATCAGTCATGGCATTGTTCTAGAGGCAGACTCGGCACATAGCACCAGACAATCAGAATCCAGGAGCATGTGCGAATACAGCATACAGCAGCATTTTAGAGGGGAAGTCCTCTGTTCTGTTCGTACACGGAGAGTAGCTCTAGAACATTGTAGCTAATCCACCTATTTGAACCATGGTTTTCACAAAGAAAATCCATTTCTAACATTGATTTGTTAATTAAATTGTCTAATGTTATCACCATATCTAATGTTATATGGGCTTGTATGCCTTTCAGATTGAGTATCACAGTTACTCTAACAATTATTCTGAAATTTCACAACACATATAACAGGTTACAGAAGGTGGGGGTGATTGGTACAGGTGCCTATAGGACGAGGTCTGGAGACTATAGGGTTGTGAGATCTCCGGGTCTCTGAGAGCAATGCCTGTCCTAATACGGTGAGGAAGAATCTGGATATAGGACAGAGGCATGGGGGTGAAAGGTTTCACCAGAGACAGTGGTGAACAGAAAAGGGAGATTTATTGAAATACACTGCTAAGGGAAGCAGCGGGCAAGACAGGAGAGATCTGCCCCTAGGGAGGACTTGTTCTCTTCTTTATACCTTGATTTCATGGGCTTTCCTTGACTGAAAGGTTGGTCTCAGCAGGTTGTTATCTGTTGGGACATCTCTCTGTGTGTGCCTTCCACACAGGAGTTGTCCTGCTAGGTTGATTGCTCTGTTTTGCATCTCTCCCAAAATTCTCGATAGCCCCCATTGATGGTTAGGACCTGTGGCCAGGTTCCCATGACAACCTATTGGCTCCTCTTTCTTATTTGTTTTGTGTCTCCCAGCCTGGTTTAGTTGAGCAAAGTGCAGAGACCAAGTTTTAACTTTATTGAATAATACCCCGACACCTAACTTTGTGCCCTTATGACCCCACACACAAGTCCCAGATCCTTGTGAGCCACAGAACCACAAGAACCCAGGTTCTTGTCACCAGGTTCTCACTGAGCTCCTCAGCGTACAGGCTGGAGGGTACCCAGGTTATATAAGGCACCTGGCTTTGCAGAGACCATAGAGCAGGGCGGTTGGACAACCCAACCAAAATCTGTAACAGGGTGGACCCCAGAAAAGAGGGAGATTCCAGGTCCTCTGCCCCACTCAAAGGAGAATGGAGCTAAAGAGAAGAGAGGAAGCTGCAGAAAGGACTGAGGAAGGAAGGAAGCAGGATGGCTCCAGAAGGAGACCTGGAGGAGCACATGGAGCCAAGAGACGTGAAGAAACTACACTTGCCTTTTGATCCTGGACTGGTTGAAACAGATGTGGGTGAGAGACCTGTGGGGAGGTGACAATGGCGGTTTTTGTCTTCATTTTGATTTTGCTCTTTTCCTTCTAGACTTGTCTGGTTGTTTCTGATCCTTTATCATGGGTCCCTGCCAAAAGGTGCTTTAGACCTGTGGCAGGTTTTCAGGGCTTGCTACCATTTGGGTGGACTTTCACCTACAAGGTAACTTTGGGTGCTTGATTTAGAAACTATATTCTTTGCCTTCCCTGTATTGTTTACTAATTGTATTAAAGTTCCTTTTCATTAAAGTCTCATGTTTTGTGTTGATGCAGCAGATGGCAGAACCTATTTAGAGCAGGCAGGTTTGCGGGGTCTGGGGTGCTCCTCTCGCTGTCCTGTAACAGATTTACCACCTACAACTGCCACTTTCTGACTTCTGTTGGGCTAAGTCTTCTGCCCCTCACCTGAGCTCTTACCCTGTCTCCTGGCCTGTTGTCCTGTGGGCCTTTTCAGGCCTTGATAGAATCAGACCCCTAAGAATCAACGCAAATCTTAAGGGTGAGGCAGGAAGTAGGGGGTCCCTAGGCCTGACCTAGTCTTACCTTGCCTTGTACCTCTGTTGTAAGATTTTTTGTGGTCTGGCTACTCACTGTTCATAAGCCAAAACTTAAGGGACAAGAGTTGGCGATAAGAAATCAGGTTTAATCTGATGCTAAGCAAACCTGAGGGCATGGTAGATTTTTGTCACAAAGGCCATCTCCCTGAATTGGGGAGAAGCAAAGACTTACATTGGGGACTACTAAGGAAGGGAAGAGGCTAAAAGGTCTGCATCAACTTGATTTCAGAAGAATAGGGAGGGTGTTCCAGAAACTATTATTCATGTTCTTTTTTCTTCCAAGATTGGTTCTGGACCAGATCTGTCATGATGCTGGTGGGCCTAGTTTTTACTATGGTAATGAGGTTGTGTTTTAACCCTTGTCTTACTGTTACAGAGCAGGGCGGGGGGCACCCTAGAACCCCCAAACCTGCCCTCTCTAAATAGGTTCTGCCATCTGCCACATCAAGACAAAACATGTAAGACCTTTAATGGAAAGTAACTTTAATACAATTAGTGTGCAACAAAGAAAAGACAAAGAATATAGTTTCCAAATCCAGCTCCCGAAGTTACCCATCCTCTTTGGGGGGAAATGCCCAGCTAAACAGAGTTGGCCCAAAGCAGGGCCATTGTGGCCTGAAAGTTTGCCACAGGTATAAGGCACCTTATGGTAGGGATCCATAGGATAGGGGTGGGAGGGGCCCAGCACATCTGGAAGAAGAACAAAAACAAAATCAAGATAAATGCTGCCATTGTTAACCTCCCCATGGGTCTCTCACCCACATCTGTTTCAACCAGTCTAGGACCAAGAAGCAAGTGCAGCTTTGTAGGAGCAGGAAGGCCACTGAGCAGGTTTTCTAATCCAGCAGAGGGGTAAAGGAGAGTCCTGGAGCCCTCGGTGGCTTTCTCAGGCTTTTATTGTGCTGTTACATATAGAGCAGCAACCAGGTACACTGCAGGGGGGTAGGGGGGTGGGGCGGGGTTGCAGTAAGCCGGCAGGTCCTCCAAACCCCCAGCAAGTCCTCACTTTGGGCTTCTCTTGGCTTCTGTTCTCTCCCTCGCTCTCCTGCTTCCTCTTCTCTGGGTGACTATCTCAATACTCCTCCTATGGCCCACAGAAGTAAATAAGAGTTTGCAACAATGTAACAACTGCAGGTGTCCCATCAGTCAGAGCAATCCTAATGGTGGGAGGGCAGAAAAGCCTGAAAAACCATTTACCCTATGAGCTTCTTCACATGTCTCTGCTCCATGTGCCTCCTCCAGGTCTCCTGGCTCTACATCCTGCTTCCTTCCTTTTCCAGTCTCCTCTCCAGATTTTCCTCCCTGCTCAGCTCCACCCTTCCTTAGGTGGGGCAGGGAACCTGAAACCTCCCCTTTTCCTGGGGACCACTCATGCTTCTACATCCATTTTGGTTTCAGCCACTTTTGCCTGGTTTTCTGGTTTTGGCTGTAAGAAAAGGAGCAAAGCAAGGATACAAGGAGTACTGCAAGGGAGAGGAATTTATGGTTACCAGGCTGGGTACAAGTCCCACCTCTGTCTATATCCTTCCCCTCATTTTTGAGGAGCAATGGGTAGAGTTCCATCTTCTGGAACTACTTCCTGCTAAATATGGGTGGCTATTTGGGAGCCCATAGAGGAGCAGAATCTTTCCCTGGATAACTTTACCTGGATAAATTGGGGTTGTCACCCCAATTGTTTATATTCTTGAGTTATAATTATTTGTAAGTTTTAATATCTCCAGCCTTTGTAGACAAAGGAAACTAATTCAGGAGACAAGGGCCAAAGAGCAAAAGAAATAAGCATATTATACTAACAGTGACTATAGGACCTATTAAGGGTCCCATCTATCTGTAGGGTAAATGATTTTAAGGCTTTTCTGCCCTCTGCCATTAGGACTGCATGCCTGATGTGGCCACCTGCATTTTGTTACATTGTTATTTTTAGTTGTGTTGTTTACTTCTGTGGACCATGGCTACAGTATTGAGATACTCGCCAAGAGAGGCAGAGGCAGGAGAAAGGTTAGAGAATCGAGTGAAGACTTGCTGGGGGCTGGGAGGCCTAAGGCCTGCTGGCCGGGGACACCCCTTTCTGCCATATACCTGGTTGCTGCAATAAAAGCGTGAGGAAGCCACTGAGGGCTCCAGCATTCTCCATTACCCGTCTGGTCTGCTCCAATCATAGAAAACCTCTGTGCCCATCCTGCTGCTACACTCCAAACCACTTAGAAAAACTTTGTTTATAACAGGTGTCCAAGGCCAGGATTCAGTTTTTTCAAGGTGCCCCATTTCTGGATAGCCCCTCCTTTCTTTGCATTCTTCCCAGAAGCTCAGCCCAAGATTGTTACAGCATCTGTAAGTATAAGCCTCAAAAAGAAAGATAACTTCTTTTTTCTTTTGTAGGGTCTGAAAACAATTTAACCACTTAGCCTAGGTTACACCTCACATGCCAAACTCTGATAGCCCCTGCACTCTCAGCCTCTTCCTCTTTATCCACCTCTGCGCCCTCAAAGCCTGGCCCACTCCGGGGTCGCCCTACCAGTTCCGACCTGGGTTCTCCACAGCACAGACCTATAGACACCTTTTCCTAACTCCTCCCTTGTGCCCTGACCCGGGCTTCCCGTCCTAGCACGCAATAAGAATTCTTTTCTCTATGTAACCTTCCTCCAGTCTAGCAAGGCCCAATCTGCCTCCAGCTCAGTGCGCTGGAGACGGCACCCAGATCCTCAGCGCGGCCCGCCCCATCCTTTTCCAGTGTTTGTGTGTGGGAAGTTGTATTTTGTTTGTTTTTGTTTTTTTGCTAGCCGGAGGGCTTACGAGTGTGGGGGAGGCTTTTATGGACGCTTCAGGCGGTGGGGGCAAAGCTGGGCCCTCACGACCCAAAATACAAGGATTCCTCCAGTTCACGATCTATTTGATCCTCTGCGGCTGCGCGGTGCCGTAGCCAGCGTCAACTACTGCTGCGCAGAAGCTCAACTCGCAGCTGGCTCCATAGCTCAGGGGTTAGAGCACTGGTCTTGTAAACCAGGGGTCGCGAGTTCAAATCTCGCTGGGGCCTGACTTTTTTTTCTTCCCCGTTCTTCCGAAAAGTGGAAAATACCATGCCTTGCGCCCTTCCTTCCTGGGAGGCCGGGCACTGGAGTGCATTTTGTCCCTCATGTGCCTGCGCCCAACAATCCTTTATTACCTTCGCTTTGCATCTCAACTGAACGCACGGCACACTTAGCTTGCGACCACAACCTACGCCGGTCCGTGCGCTTCTCCCACTTTCCCCAGCCCCTCGCCCCTCCTCCCCCACCCGCGCCGCCAGCTGCCCGCTGCGAGAGCGACGGGCGGGTTTGGGAGCAGGCGCTCCTTTCCGTCCGCGGCCCGCCTCTGGGGGCCCGCGGGGGTCTCCCGCTCTTCGTTGAATGTTCCCATCTGCGACTGGGCCTCCCAGCCCGCCCCACACTGCCTGCGAATGTTTTAGTCGGGGTGGGGTGGGGGTTAGTTAACTCCCCCAGCCGAGTTCCCCCTTGGTGCCCACAATCGGCCTTCGGTACCGCGGTGACCTTCCCGGGAGGCGGGCGCTTGGGGGTTTCTGGGCCCCGGGAGACGCGGGCGGGAATGCCCCGGCGGGCGGGGCCCGGCCTATCCCGGCGCGTCCTTCGGGGTCCCGACGCGCCGTCCCCCGCTTGCGCTCCCCATCCGCACCTCGTCCGGCCTCCCCCAGCCTCCCGCGAGTTTCCTCTGGTTCACCGGCCGGGGCTCGGCTTTCAATTCCTGAGCCGCCTCCGAGCGCGTCCGGGCGTCAGCCGCGTCCCCAACGGGGCGGGGACTCGCTCAGGGCCGACCCGAGGGCCCCTCCGCGTGGGGGAGCGCCCGAGCGAGGCTGGGCCGGCGCGGCCGCGCGGGGCCAACCCCTCCTGGGCCACTTGCCCGCGGGTCGTGCCGCGGGGCGGCCAAGGCCGCGGCGGGTGGCTGCCCCGGAGCCCGGCGCGCCCGGCCCCGGGCCCAGCTCACTGGGCCTCGTTTGTGTAGTTGACTTCCGTTAATAGTATGAATAAATAAATCAAATAAACATATATTAGTTGTGTATTTTGTTCTTGTTAAAAGAAAAACTTTCTAGAAGACCGGAAGAGAATTGGGCATTTTTCTTTCTTTAATTTCATTGGAAAACACGCAAATGCTGACAGGCCGAGCAGAAGTAACCGCGCGGCCGAAGACGCGGGCCGCGCCCCAGGCCCGGGGCGTTCCCCGCCGTCCGGGGGTCGCGCCCGGGCGGGCCAGGGGCTGCTCGCCGGCCCCCGCGCCGCGCACCCCGCGCGGGCGGCGTTTCTGCTCATCTCATTTCAGCCCTACACGTGCCCGCAGAGGACTGTCTCGCCAATCAGTACGCGCTGCTTTTCACATTTTAATAGAGCGATAAACAAAAACTCCGCCCCTTTACCGGGCTCGCCCTGCCCCCCTCCCGAGAGACGGCCGGGCTCGCCGCGCAGGTCACGCCGGGACCCCGCAGGGTCCGCCGCGGCGCCGCCCCAGGCCCTCCGGGCCCGCGCCCCGGGTTGCCTGCGGGAGGACTCCGAGCCCTCCAGGAAGGAGGTCTCTGCCCCTCTGGATCCAGGAAACCTCAAGTGGCTCAGGGGATATGGAGTGTTTATGACGCACAAATTAGCATCGGCTGGGACAGCGCGGGATGTGGAGCTATGTCGCGATGGGCAGAAGTGAATTGGTTTTGGAAGATCCGCAGAGCTAGTAGTTTCGCCGCCGCCACGACTGAGCAATTCGATTCAGAGTCAGATCTCGGACAGGAGCGAAGCTGACCAGCTGGCTCGTTGGTCTAGGGGTATGATTCTCGCTTTGGGTGCGAGAGGTCCCGGGTTCAAATCCCGGACGAGCCCACTTTTTCATTAGCTCTACGTGCGTTATATTTCTTGTTACACGGTCGGTTTTGCTCCGGGTCGGGAAGTTGGCATCACAAAAATTCCGGGAAGACTGGGAATTCAGAACAAATGCGGTAGGAGGGCGAGTGAGCCGCTCCAAGTGCGCGTCCCGGGAGAGAGGCTGGACGTGGAGACGCTAGTGGGGGTTTCGGTCGATCTGCGTTGGGGACGGTCTTTACGCTACCATGAGACGACGCGGCCTTCGTGCGGCGCCCCTCCTCGGAGGGACTCACCTCACAACACCGCTAGGGCCCCGCGGCAGGTCTCTGTGGTGCAGTGGCCACCACGGCCGGCTAGCAAGTGGGAGGCCCCCGGTTCGAAACCGCCATAAATACGTTGGGTGAGGCAGGTTTTTCTTACTATTTGAAATGCATTCATGACATTAGCGGTAAATCAGATGTTCTGTTACACAGATTTGCTCCTACTGCAGAACATTCCGCCATCAAATCTACCTGCTTACGCACCTGAGCGGCCGCCCGGAGAGGGAGTCGCTCGCTTCCTGCCTGATCCCAGCTACCCGTCGTTACCGCACGTCACCACCGTGCAGGGCCCGCCCGGGGCACACCCCGACACCAGACTCTGGGGCAGGGCCGGGGCCGGCCTAGCGGGGGTGACGCCGCCAGGTCGTCCTTTTGTGAGAAAACGCGAAGCTGCCCAACACGTTGGCAGCGTTGGGAGCCCACCCTGTGCCCCCAAGGAAATGAGAGCCTTAGACCGCTCGGTTGCGTCACCTCGTTCACGGACAGCGTTTGGGCGTCTATTTCAGTCCAGAAAACGCTTCCAGCGCCCTCCAGAAGCACACGCCGCCCTGCCGGCCGCACAGCCGGCGTCTGGGCTCCACCCGCGCCGAGGCGGTTCCGCGCCACCAGGCTCCGCCTGGTGTGGCCCAGGACCCCCCTGCGCGCTGGGCTCTGGAGAAGACACTGAAGAGTCACTCTGGCCCTACACCTTCGGGGAGCGGATGTGGACTCTAGAGAAGCCGTCAACATTCTGATTAAAACAAACAAACAAAAAACACCTGCCTGCAGGTATTATTTTACATATTAACAAAGGAGGGGAAAACCCTGCAGTCCTCGATTGTTTTTAAAACCCGAAGCCCTGGCGGGGGTGGAGGGGTGGGGGTGTGCGGAGGTGGGGTGGGTAATAACACCAGTACTTTTAGAAGTGACTCTTTAGTGGCCGCGTTGGTGGAGATCTCGGAGGCCTCGCCCTTTAAATGGAAAGGTGTTTCAGCCTGAGGCCTTGAGTATTTGTACTACATTTCCAACTAGACCACCGCCCCCACTCTTCCAAGCTCCGTGTAACCCAACATGTAAAATAATCCTGGGAAAAATAAACAATTCACCCCAAAACCCACAACACAGCGATCACCATCATTATCTGGTGACCTAATCTTTAGTTTGCTTTTCTGATGATTTTCCCCATGCAAGAATATGTCTATATCCTCAGTTGCGATCTCCTTCTGTTGGGGGAAAAGATGTCCTGAACAAACTCCACCGACAGGTTTTATGAACCCAACTCCTACCCCAGACCAAAGAGATACAAGACACCAAGGATTACAAATCCCATAACTTCATCACCACCGAAGGGAGGATTGCAGAGAACTGAGAGTGGAGTTTGGTACAGAACCAGACACGTGGGCCTTGGGAGTGCTTGGTTTTGCCAGGGCTTTCTGCATGCTACTGGGGGGTCCAAGCTCAGCAAACTGGAAGGACTCATTCACCAATTTCTCTCTCTCTCTTTCTCCCTGAGTTATTCATCATTTCCCCAATTTTTGGGTAAATAAAGCCTTTATTACCCTTTTTGTGTGTGCCTGCAGTTGAATCTCATTATAAGTCCCTTGTAAGCGTGCCATGGGGCAGTAGACCAGAGGTGAGGATATGGAGATTGCGGGCCATTGTGGAATCTCTGTTCCTTTTCAAATTCTACATAGTTATTCAAAATCAACAAAAATTAACCACTCCACAAAGGAATGAGCCTCTCTCAAAGAGAAGAAAACTCTTTCAGTGCAATCTCTGCACTGGCAAGGGGCAGCAGTCCTTCTGCCCACCTGTGACTGCAGGTGCTTCTTTTCACCAACTTTTTCCTTTTGTAGAGCAGGAGCAGTGGCTCTTCCGTTAGGAGGAAAAGGATGTCCTAAAGCTAATTCCATAAAGGCTTTGTGGACTCCACCCCCCACTCCAGACCAAACCACTGCCCTTCTGCCCTCCAGGGTGCACTCATCCCTCTTGTGGACCTGACTCAATATGCTCCTGAATACACGGAGCGGGATGAGGAGAGAGCCCGTGCATGGGGCTTTACTGAGTTTGACCCCAGCTCTACTTGGAGAGTAAACTCCCATGGGATGATACTCCTCCTGGAGGCCCTGGTATATCCAGTGCTAAAACGTCTTCACGAAGGATCTCACTATGGGAGAGATGCCTTATGTGGGTTGCCGGACTCTATCCAGAGTGATAATGGGCCAGCATTTGTTTCTGACGTTACTCATGCAGTGAGCAGTGTGTTACAGATCAACTGGAAATTGCATGCTGCATGGAGATCACAGTCTTCTGGACAAACGGAGAAAATGAACCACACCTTAAAGAAAACCTTGGCAAAACTGTGCCATGAAACACAACTTCGTTGGGACCAGGTACCATCCCTTGCCCTCCTCCGGATAAGAGTGGCACCTAGAAGTGGGCTACAATTAAACCCCTTTGAAATTGTGTTCGGAAGACCCTTCCAGGCCTCAGTTCTGAAAGCCAGTCCAGAAATAGCACAAGATTGCCAGATCACACAATATGTGAAACACATCCAGGAGGTTCTGGCAGTAATTCACAACTTTGCAACCTCGAGGATCTCTATGCCTCCTGATCAACCATTGCATCCCTTCAGACCTGGATACCAGGTCTTACTGAAGACCTGGCAGAGTGGGGATGCCCAAAACCAGCTGGCAGAAAAATGGACTGGTCCATATGACGTTTTGCTAAGCACACATACTTCTCTGAAACTTGCAGGTATAAAACCCTGGGTACATCATTCCAGAGTTAAGAAAGCGCCAGAAGGAACTGACCCAGAGACGAAGTCCCACTGGTCTTGTGAACCCATTGAGGACTTGAGATATTTGTTTAAGAAACAGAAAAAAACTTGAATGTGACTGACTTTTCCAGTTACTGTTGCAGGATACCCAAGGACTCACTGAAGAAACCCTGAGGGGGGGATAAAAAAAAAACCCTAAAATGCTCTAACCAATCTTCTTCCTTTCAAAGTTTAGGAGACGTGAATTAACATCTAGGATCATGCATATGCTGCCAGTATTTTTTTTACACAGAAAGGTTTTCAATCTTGATTTTGTTATTTCCTTTTAACTTTTTGCTTTTTTTAACTTTGAGGTTTTTTTTTTTTTTTCTTTCTTCTCTGCTTGTTTTTTTTCTTTGGCATATGAGTGAAACTGCAGTTGTATGAGATATCCCACGCGTGATAAATGGTAACTAAAGAGCTCTTTGTGTCTATATGTTGTATGTCTGTATGTCCTTTCCTTGTGTCCTTGTCTTGGCCTCCAGTGGTTGACAAATTGGTACACATGGTGCCCATAGACGTTGAAAAAAGAAAAAGAGTCTCCAGTTATGAGAAAAACTAAAGGTTATGGTTTGATTGTCAACATTGTACTACTGAACTAAGCCGGTGCCTTCATAGAGATTGAATATTGTTTTTTTCTGTTGTTTTTCTGCTATTTATGGCAAAGCTTCCCAGAAATCTAAATTCAAGTACAAATTTGGTAGTCTGTCATTTGGCTGATGCAAGGAAATTTTGTGGAACCTCAGTAGAGCTCCTGAGACACTCCACAAAGTTTCTCCCTTTCCTCCTGGGAAAGGCGTTAGATGAATTTGTTTATTTGGCTTACCCAGTGAAGTAAAACTG